TGCTGCTATGGGGGTTTGGGGATCCTCTGTCCCTGTGGGTCCCCCACGTCCCCCCTATGTGATGGGGTCCCCACATAGGCAAAGCCCTTCTTGTCCCCCCCACGTCCCCGAGGGAGGAGGATGATGGAAATAGGGACGTGGGGTTCCCATATGGGCAGAGCCCCTCTTGCCCCCCCCACGTGTCCTCAAGGGTGCAGGGTGATGGGGGAGGGGACACGGGGTGCCATGTGGGCAGAGCCCTTCTTGTCCCCCGTGTCCCCGAAGGTGCAGGGTGATGGCGAAGGGGACACGGGGTCCCCGCATAGGCAGAGCCCCTCTTGTCCCCCCCCCAATGGCACAAGGGGATGGGGAAGGGAACACAGTGCCCCACGTGGGCACAGATCCACTTGTCCCCAGCGTCCCCAAGGGCAGCAGGGTGATGGTGAAGGGGACACGGGGTCCCCACGTGGGCACAGCCTCACTCGTCCCCAGTGTCCCCAGGGGGTCACACAGGGCGATGGCGAAAGGGACACGATGTCCCCACGTGCTCAGAGCATCACAGCATCCCCTCTCCCCGGGGGGGGGGGGAAACACAGACAAACCATTAAAGTGCTACGTAACGAACCGACAGCCATAGGGACAACGCCAACGGCGGTGGGGACGGCCCCCAAAACCCCCTCCCCCCCCCTCCACACACACACACAGCACCCCGACCCCCACCCACCCACGGATCACATCCTTCCACCTCTCTGGGCACTGGGATGCTCCTTGGGCAGCACTGAACCTCAGGTGGCCTTGGAGCATCGTCCCCATGCGGTGTCCTGAGCTCAGAGGGTTGGTGGGGGGGGCGGGGGGGTCCTTGGCTGCTGCTTTTTGCCCCCTCTGCCTGCTGGGTCCTTGTTGCTTGGAGCTCGTGGGGTGAAGCTCTGAGAGCTCTTCAATAAACAGCAAACGGCGGTGGAGGAGGAGGTGGGAGGGGGGGGGATTGGGGAAAGGAAGGGGGGTGGGGGTGGGGGGGAGAACCGAAAAGGTGAAGAACAGAAAAGAAAACAACGGAAATACGTGGAAAATAATAATAGAAAGGGGAGAGGGGAAGAGAAAGAGAGAAAAGAAACAGCAAGTGGCTGTGGCTGGCTGTCTGGAGCGAGGTGTGGGGCAGCAGCCGGGCTGAAGCTGGCCATGTAAGGGGGGGGGACATGGATAT